AATGGAATTCTTACTGGTTCCACTGCTTTGATTTCCCTGGAATTCCATTGGTCCACATCAACACAGTGACAGTGTTTTCCACCTCCTCTGGCATTCTCTCTACTGCATTTGGTTGCATTTTAACAACACGAAGAAAACTCGAGCCTCCAGAGCTTGAATTTCAGAAAAACATAATTGTATTTGTCAATTTTCAACTATTGTTTGTGAATTTAATTGACTCAAAATATCTCTTCCTAACAAAGGCATTGGGCATTCAGGCATATACTGAAACTGATTCATTAACCACTCCCTACCTGTCTTGAATTTTAAGGGTTGCAAAAATGGCATATTTTAGCTCTTCCTGGGGGCACCAATGACATTTACAGTATCTTGGCTAAGGTTCCTTTATGTGTATATAGTACAGAAGAAGCTGCCCCTAGATCCACCGGAAAACCTACCTGTGTCACTCCCCAGTGTCAGGGTCCCCAGGGTTTCAGGTGGGGATGACTCTCCTGGTTCCCTCCAAGCTACATCTAATGTTAAAAGCCTTGTGGCCTGGTCAGGAGGTGCCTGTTGGTTCCTGGCCGGTCACACTTCCAATGATCCCCCTGTTTCTCTCTTGCCCCCTGATTTCTACCCAGAGGCCGATTGTCAGAGCCCCCCCTCCCTGGGTGTCTCCATCTCTTGTTCTGTAACTCCCCCTTGGTCTTCGGGCTCAAAAACGCTTTTAGGAGTTTCCTATTCCTGCTTTCCTTGATATTCTTGACATTATTCTATATTTCCTGAGCTCTTTACGATAATCTGTTCAGGTACCTAGAATCTACCCCTTGCAGTCTCTGAAGTTTCTTTCTAATATGCGGAGCCGGTTGTCCCAAAAATACTGTTGCTGACTGTAATGCATCTCCCTCCCCTTCAGGCTGCAGGTCCCTGTACTTTCTGGCCACGCCATAGTGAGTCACTGTTGAAAATCAGAAGGGCATTCATCTTTTCCTTGAACCTCTTGATATAACTTTGACATATCCATAGCTTTCGGAATAGCATGTTTTATCCCAAACATAATTAATCTTTGATATCCAGTTAAAACTGTCTTTGAGCCATGTTCTTTGGATCCCACCAGGGATGTGCAGGAGGGAAATATTGATCCAGGGTTCCTTGCTGAACATTCTGAGCATGTCCTCTCTCAGCCTCTTCCCCCACTTTTGCCATTACCACAATTCCCCCACCTGCAGTTAAAGGTGGGTCTGAAACTGCCTTACTGAAATCCCAGGGGTCTTTGCCTTGAACTCACTGGATTAGGGCACTGGAGGATCTCCCTGAAAAATCTTTGGAGTCCACTGGAGTCTTCTCGATCCTCTGAATCCATGGAGAAAAGAAGGAGCATGGTTCCATCTGGGTCACTAAAAACGGTCTCCAAAACGCGGATAAATGAAATCCTCAAACAGGATCATTTTAGTATTAGCGAGTTAGGCATTACTTTGTGCTGGTCAGGGCGTGTAGAGCAGATAGTTTCAGCCACACACACACACAAAACTTTTCACTTAGTTATCTGTTTCTAGCAAACAAAGAAATCGATGGCCATCCATTCTCAATTACATAATTCTCTTCATTAGTTAGTGTTTTAACCTCTGTTGGTTAGAGCTTTCTTGCTTCTCATCCTAATTAGCACACATTTCTCTGACTCTTTATTATCTTTTTCCAAGGCAGTGAGTTATCCCGCATAAATAAAATTGCCTTTATTAATCTCTTCATTGTTGTCCTAGTTTAGGGCAAATTTGGGGAAAACCCTCTGAAAGGAGCCCCCAGAAAACAAACCCCCACGGCCCCTCCCCACCCACCTGGTTCAGGAAAAAAATTTCCTCTGAGAGAGAAGTGGAAAAGAACCTGTTTATTCAAGGAACAAAGCACTCCCCAGCACAAAAACAATTAACAACACCAGATGACAACAAAACTCTTTCACCCCTCTGAAGAGATGAACAAATCCAGAAAGTCTTTCCTGGGAGTGGTCGCCCGGGTCTGGACGCTGGGGATTGCTCTCCAGCACTGGGGATGGCTGCTGCAGATCACAAAATGAAGGCTCCTGGTGTTCCTTGGTGTTTCCCAGATCCCAGTCCAGAGCAGGTTGGATGGTATTCAGGAAGAGGAAAGGAAAAGCAACAGTCCAGGGAAAGAATTGGACTGCTTAGCTAAACTAACTAGGAAGCAAAGGCAAAAGCAGAAGGAAACAAAGCAAGCAAGCAAGCAAAGCAAAGCCAGCCAGCCAGCACTGGCCTTTTCTAGACAGCAGACCATGGGGGGAGGTGAACCAGCTGATAACAAGGCAAAAAAAACCGTCACTTTCAGAGTCGGTTCTGAAAGCACAGAACATAATATCAAACGTAAACAGAACACAGGATTGGAGATACAAACACCATAACGGCACCCTAGGAAAATTGTCCACTGGTCTCTGCAGAAACACCTTGGAGGGCTATAAACCCTGCTTTTCACATGTCCACTTTTCAGCTTTGTTCACTGAAGCTCTTAAGTGTTAGTTTAGCAAAACTAAAAGGTTCCCTGATTTTCCGAATCAAAGTCTAATAATAACACCCTCTGGAAATAAGTTTAGCTAACAGTTGGCCAAGAGTTGAACTTACACCGCTAAAGATTAATTTTAAAAACTAATTAAAAGTTATAAAATTGCAAGCTCAATAACCTACTGTAGAGCTTTGAAGCAGGAAGGACTAGGGGTTAACAAAGCATGTTTTAGAAAAGGGGCAGATGGGGGTGGATGGCAGGTGTTGGAAGGAAGAACTTGGTTTGTCTTCCCCCACAGTCTTGGGGGCGTTAGCAGGAGAAATTATTTCATTGTCTTCTTTATGGACCATCAAACTGACATAAAACCTGCCTTGGAGGGAATTGTACAAAGGCTTCACCCAGGGAGACTCTTTGCCGTGAACTCCAGAGGAGAAAGGAGTCTATGCCCCAACAACCCTATAGCTCAGCGAGGGGCTCACGGGGTTCCTCCTGCACCTCCGGCATGAGGAACAGCACCCCACTGCTTCCCCTGCAAAGGCTGATCCCAGGGGATGCTCCCAACCAGGCCCTGGGTTTGCAGCAGTGCAGGAACTGGCTTAGATGAAACGCAACTCTTAAACTGACCAAAAGAAAAGCAATGAGGCTGTTCTCTCCTGGGAGACCTTTAATCACTTTTCAGCAGATAAAAGGACTACAAAACGACTGGAGGGGGACTTGGCACAAGGGCCTGGCATGGGAATGGCTTCACACTGAGAGAGGGGAGAGATAGGTGGGATATTGGGAAGAAACTCTTCCCTGTCAGCATGGTGATGCCTTGACAGAGACTGCCCTGTTCCTGGAAGTGTCCAAGACCAGGTTAGATGGAGCTGGCAGCAACCTGGTCTAGCAGAAATGGTTCCTTTATCTGTCCCTGATAGGGGGTGAAATGAGAAGATCTTTGAGGTCCATTCCAGCCCAAGCCATTCCGTGACTCTATGACTTCATGAGTGTGTGACACAGTGGTGAGGTCCCAGGGGTGAGGTGTGCTGCCTGGCAACGGGAATTGTGATGAAAAGGGGTTTGAGCAGAGCAGGCTCCAGTCCTCTGAAGGACACGGAAGGAGGAAGGAGCCTGTTGGCTACTCATCCTTTTTATTATTGCTTTTGCTGACCCCTGACAGACCCAGCTGGGCAGGAAGGCTTGTGACCAAGCAGGGACTGACTGTGTGCAGACATGGCAGCATCCCTGGACACACTCAGCCTCTCCCAGATGCTGGATCTCGCCATCGGGACGCCCCAGAAGGGGATCATTCACTTTGCAGCCATGAGAAAACTGCTGCAGGCCGTGCTGGAGCACCTGGACGTGCAGTACCTGACCAGCCAGGAGCCGTGGCCGGGCCAGCTCAGTGGCCCCTCACTTGCTGATGTGGCCACTGACATGGAAAAGATGAAGAAAGAGATGGACGATTACAAGAAACACATGTCCGAGGTAGAGGCTCCTCCCAGCCCCCGGGGCACTCCCCCAGCAGACAGCCCCTCCCTGCCTCCTCAGACAGCACTGCTTGGCACTGCCCTCACTGCCCCGGCACAGCCCCTGGCAGGGGCTCTTTGCCACCTGGATGGGCCTCAGTGCGCTGGCACCGAGCCGGGCTGGGGCAGGTGGCACTGGGACTCTCCCTGCCCACCTGGACTGCCACGGGCTGCCCGTGGCAGGGTGGGGCTCTTTGGGGTGTTGCTGCCATGGCCATCACCTCTGACATCCCTGTTGGTTGGACTGTTCCACAGGTTCTTCGTGAGGAGTTTGGTGGGATAAAGGCAGAACTTTCCCACCTCTCCGAGGACATGAAGAAGTTTCAGGAGAGACAGGTCTGTGCAGACCACTGTGGTAGTGAAGGTTGTTTTCCTCACACACTCCACAACTTGCATCTCTCACCATTTTCTCCTACAGTCCAACATGGCACGGGAAATAAAGAAGATCCATGAGATGCAGGACAAGGTGAAGTGCTGCTGGGAGCAAGTTTTGGGTCTGAGAGAGCAGCCTGGACCCTCGGCCCTGCTGGCTGGAGGCTCAGTACCCTTGGCCCTGCCAGATGCATGGACCGTGCTGCCTGCAGAGCCCTGCCAGCCTGGCTGAGCCCGGCCCTGCGCTGTCCCAGGGCTCCACAAAGCACAGCAGGGGTCAGGGCCTTGCAGGTCCCCACTGACCTTCCCACAGGCTCACTGCCACCACTCCTCTCTCCCAGGACATGGCTCTCATCCGGGATCTCCAGGAGGAGATGGACAGGATAAAGACAACACAGATCCTCATGGAAGGAGACGTAAAGAAGGTTAAGGAGTCGCTTTCCATAATAAGCTGTTGGATCGTGTAATCTTTAGGCTCCCACGGGGAACATCAATGTGATTCCAAGAGCAGGGTTTGGGATCAGGGTCTCAGGACCAGGTGGAGGAGCCTGGGTCTGCCCATGTAGCTGAAGGGCCCCCACGCTGGGACCACAGGATGTCCATGCTCTGACTCTACCATCACTGGCTTTCCAGATGAAGAAGCTGGAGGAGGACCTTAAAAAGCTGAGGGAGGATGCAACCAAGTGGAAAGAAGAGGGCAAGAAGGAGATCTCTCAGCAAATTGAGTAAGAGGACAGGAGTGGGTTTCATACCCTGTGGGGCTGCAAGGGAGCCCAGGGGGTCTGGCAGCATCCTGGTCTGCAGGCACAGCACAGTGCCCTGCAGCCCTGCAGGGGAAACCCTGACCTTGTCCCCATCCTGCTGGCCAGGGCTTTGCGTCAGGACACAAAACTTGAGCTGCAGAAGATGGGAGAGCAGCAGGATATGAGGTATTCCACCCTGGAGCAGCTGGTGACTGAGACAGCCAACCAAGTGAACGAGCAGGTGAGGTCCTGGGGGAGCACTCCCACCACCCCTGGCTTGGTGCCCGAGTCCTGCAGGGGTTCCTGGCCATATTCTCTGACTGGCTGGGGCCACCTTGCACTGTTGATTCCATTCATCCCACCTCTGAGCCAATTTCTTCTGCCTCTCCTGCAGTTTGGCATTACAGGAGAGACAACATCTGGCCTAGGGAAGGAGCTGGAAGAGGAGAATGGAGACTGCTCCAGTTGCACTTTCAACATCAAAGCATATTTGGGGAAGCTCCTCCAGCGCTACGAGAAACTCCAGGAGAAGGTGGAATCCCTGGAGTCCCGGCAGATGCCCAGGGGAAAGCTCAAGAAAATGATGAAGAACTGGGGACAGGTAGGCTGTGGGCAGCATGGGGGACTGAGGACATCCCCCAGCTGGATGTGCTGTAGTCTGGGGGAGGCCCAAACTGCCCAAATTGGCCTGGACCGGTCAGCAACATGGACACAGATTAAAGCCTTGATGCAAACGTCCTGTTGATTCTGAGAGCTCATGGCCACAGGCTGAGAAATGCTGGTCTGCCCTGTGGAGCAGCCAGACCCCCTTTTGTTCAGTGCCATGCTTTTCCTTCCCTGAAGCTGGAGAATGACCATGAGCGGCTGCACTACATGGAGGAAACACTTGTACAGATGAAAGAAGACTGTGAGAAGCTCAGCTTTGTTTCTGGGAGCCTGCAGAAAGACGCTGAACAAAAGCAGAAAGCGATCAAGGTTTGTGGCTGAAACTCCTGTGGTGCCAGAGCATTCCCCAAGCCCTCGTGATTCCAGGCAGGGAACACAAGAATGTCTCTGGCTGAGCCTTTCAGGCACTGTGCTGGTTGCAAGTGCCTTTCCTCAAGGTTTTTGGGCAAGGGGAGTGGGTTGTGTTCTCCTGGCCAGGAGGCAGCTCCAACCTTACTGTGGTGTCATGGGTTCCTTTCTGTACTGAAAGATGCTGTTCCAGTCTCTGGAGAAGGTGCAGAAAGAGAAAACAGATGAGCAGGACATGATGGCAGCAATGGACATGGTACAGTCTCGATGGGCCTCTCTGCCAGCCCAAGGGTTTCCAGGCAGGGTGCCAAATGCCCCTTGTCCCTTGGGGGCTGGGTGGCAGAACTGGCCTGGGGAGGGAGAATTTCCCGAGCATGTTGGGGTTCCCTCACCATCCAGATGGTGGGACCAAACCCACCAGGGTGATGGGGCACATGGGGCCACAGCACCCTGAAAGGGGCACGATGGCCTGGAGGAAGCACTTCTCCCTCTGCCCCTCACACGCGCTGGCCCTGCCTGTCGTTCCTCATCCCTTTCCCCACCGCTCTCCTGCCGTTCCCCTCTGCTAGAAGGCGGACAAAGCTGCCCTGGGCAGCAAAGTCAACTGCAGCCAATTTGAAGCACATATGGAGCGTCTGGATAAGAGGATGCAGGAGTTGCAGAGCCAGATTTCGGGCCAGGAGGAGCACTGGAACAATATGCAGCAGCAGCTCAGCTGTGTGGTGGAAGAAAAGGTGAGGAGTACCTTGTCCACAAAATGGCAAACTGGCACCTTTGGGACTGGACAGCCTGAGGCAGCATCCCTCTGAGGATCCCCCTCCAGGCTTTTCCCTGGAGAGCTCCATGTCACATCCCGGGGCAGCTGGCTGAGGCTGTGCACCTGTTCACAGCTGGATCGCCTGGAGCTGAAGGCTTTCGGCTCCCAGATGGAGGAGACGTGGAACAGGAACATGGAGGAACTTGAGAACAGGCTGTTGCGTGAAAACGCTGCTGGGATTAAGAAGTGAGTGTGATGCAGATTCTGAAGGCTTTGGGGACAGCAATGGTCCAATTCCTTCCAGCTGCCCCACACGCTCCCTGTGTGCTCCCCTGCCTTGGGACCAATTCAGCTGCTCAGTGAACCAGGGGGATGCTGATGAAGCAGCTGCACCTTCTCCTTCCACCAGCAGCAGGTTCCACACAGGAAAGGAGGCACAAGGACAGGGCACCTGCAGGACAGTGCCCTCCCAAAGCAAAATGGGGCTGTGGGTGCAAAGGCTCCCAGAAGCCAGGGTGGGAGATGGGAACTGCTCCTCCCAGGCAGGGCTGTGGGACGCAGGGTCCCAGAGCTGGGTCATGCCCTGCCCTCCTGGCCGTGCACACAGGGGACTTTGGTGCCAGAGAGTGGCTGAAAGTGCTGCAGGGGCTGCTTGGGGTGGTGACACGGGTGCCTGTGCCCTTCAGCTGGCATCATCCAGCACGCTGGGGATGGGGAGAAACAGGCTCAAGAGCCCACGGTTCAGCCTGCAAACGCCGTGACCCTGTGCAGTGCCCTGCCCGGCACCCGGCTGCTGCCAGCCGCTGCTGCCTGTGTGCGGGCAGGGCTGTGGCCCCAGGAGCTCCCCCAGCCCTCTTCTCTCACCCTCCTTAGGCAGCTGCCAGTCCCTTTCTCGTGCCTGTCCTGTGACCGCATGCTCACCGTGCAGGTCCCTGGCCAGTGAGTAGCACCAGTGCATCGGGGGCAGCGGGGCTGGCATGGGGGGAGATGGGTGCCAGCAGTGACCGCTGTGCTGGGCACAGGGTGACAGGGTCTGCTTGGGAGGCCCTGATGTGGGGAGCCCCTCTGCAGCCCTGCCGGCAGCAGGGGTGTGGGCACTCATCCCAAGGGCTACAGGCAGTGGGGTACCATGGGGTACAATCCTCTGGGTTTGGGGGGGCTGCCTCCAAGAGGAACAGGTTGTTTGTCCCCTGTCACACCCCTGTGACTCCTGCCCTCCCCAGGTGCCCCGAGACACTCCCGTATTTGCCGCCGCTGCCTCCCAGCAAGGAGCCACCGCACAGCCAAAGGTAAGGGCCCTGAGGACACATGCCCAGCTCCCGGGGTGCAGGCACGCCCTGACACAGCAAGGAGGGCTCTTGCCTGGCCTGGGACAGAGGAGCTGGTGGGGGTGGGAAGGGCCGGGGAGCAGAAGGCAGCTGTCTAGGGCCAATGCTTGCCCCAGGTCTGGGGAGTTCTGCAGTCCCGCAGTTGCACTGCCATGTGTGGCCCACCTCTCTGTCCTAAGGTTGCTGAATGCACATCTGATGAGCTGTGTCTGCTTTCAATCTAAGCTCAGGCTTGGTGGGCAGTTGTGTGCCTCCTGTGAAAGCAGTTCCCAAAACCCAGCCCTGCCAGGAGCAGTAGAGTGGCACAGCAGGGTGAAGCCCAGGATGCCACAGGGCTGGGCTCTGAGTGTCCTCTGCCCTGTCCCACAGGAGGCCGGTGGCCCATGGCAGGTTCCCCCGTGTGCCACCGAGCTCTGGGGACCATCACAACAGCAGTTCCATGGTGCAGAACATCAGGGCTTCCCTCCAGAGAAGCGGTCAGCAACAGGCCTTGACAGTCCAGAAAAAGGTAGGGATTATGAAGGTGGGGACACAGAATAATGACTGAGGCTTGATGGCATTGCTGACTATCCAGAGGGAATCTGTGCCTTCAGTCCCCAGGGAGACCTGGGTTGGGAGGATGATTAGGGGATGCTGGATTGGTTGGGCCCAGCATTTCAGCTTGTTGCCCTCTCCTCCTCAGCCCAGTGTGACCCAGCTGCTGGACAGTGATGGACACATCTCAAGGGGCCGTAAAGTCCAGCATCCTACGGCGATCAGGACACAGGATACATCAGGTATGGCCCTGTTAGGGCATGGGGGTCAACGAGGACAGGGGGCTGATTATCTGTGGGGTACCGGCTGGGGGATGAGCTCCGTGTGCAGAGCTGGGCAGGTTGGGATGGGGCTTGGGGCTCTGACCTGCTTTGGAAGGGGCAGAAGCAGAATGGAGGAGAAGGACTGGCTCATGGGGCAGCTGAGCTTGGCTCTCTGAGGGTCTCTCACTAGGCAGGTGACACTTGTGCTGGCCACCCTGGGCCGGCAGAGTCTCTCCAGCCAGGGGCAGTCCCTGGCAATGAGGGACTCACCCTTGGCCTTCAACCCCCAGGCCCTGCCGCCTCACGAGGGCTCCGGCCAAGCACAGCCCCCCGACACATCTCGAGTGCACCAGGGCTCGTCCAGCCTCTCCAGCCCCTCCGGACATCCACAGCCCCCAGCCAGCTGGAAAGGACTCCGCGCCCAGTGCTCGACCTGGGACATCTCCTCAGAAGCGAGAAACGCCTGTGACACTGCTGTTGAGAAGCATGATATTTTAGTTGTATTAAGTTGTATTATTTAGTTGTATTTAGTTGTATTATAAGTTAATAAAACCCGTTAAACTGTAGGCAGAGCCTTGTCTCAGCAGCCTGTCTCTTCCCCGGGCTCCCTGACGCTCCTTAAGCTCCTGGCCCCCGCTGTGGCCGGGCCCCAGGCCGAGCAGACGGAGCCCTGGGCCGGGCCCTGAGGCTGCTGCCGGTCCCGCGGCGCCCGCGGGGCAGCTCTGACAGCCGGGCCCGCTGTGGCAGCGGGAGCAGCGCTGCACAGCCGCGGCCCTGCCGGGCTGGGCGGCCTCGGGCAGATCCCCGCGGGGCCCGGCTGGCACTGCCGGCGCTGCTGCTCTCGGCTGCCGCCTGAAATCCTCACAGGCAGCCCTGGCGCCGACTCAGGAGCCGCTTGCAGCCGTGCCCCACGGCTGGCCCCGAGCCCCGGCGCCCCAGTGCCCTCGTCCCTTCATCCCTGCACGGGGAGGCTGCAAGCTCAGTTGTCAGCTTCCTCTTCCTCTTCCTCGCTGAGGGGCGGCCTGAGGGGCTGGCCCAGCACGGCCTGGCAGCCTCTTGCCCACAGCTCCTGTCAGGAGCCAGAGCTGCTTCCAGCCAGGCACCCCCGGCTGTCCCGCAGCCCGGGGCCGATCCTGCCCGGTGCCGGGATGCCCTGCGAGGGAGCTCGGCCATCCCGGCAAAGAGGGGGAACACAGCGGGACACGGGGGGACACACGGGGACACACACCGGCACCGCTTCCCCTTGTCCCCATTCCCGCCGAGCAGCGCCGTGTGCTGGGCGCTGGGTCGATCCGAGCACAGGGGAAAGTCTGTGCTGTGACAGAGAAAGCGCAGCTGTGTGGGAAAAGTCACAGTCCCAGAGTTTATGCCCAAAAGGGTGACTGAGAAGTGCTGTAACCATATTCAAAGAAAGTGAAAAGCCACAGGGTGGTTCCCACGGGGACTCACAAATTGTTGGGGGATGCAGCCCACTTTTAGTCCTGATTTCCCAGACACATCACTCTCTTCCTCATTGGCTGAGGCGCCCATACTGACTTCGCAAATCGCCTGCTCTGTTTTCCACTATTCATATTGAATCTTTGGGATTTTTTTCTGTAAATTCAGCAATTTAACACAGCCTTGGCTTAGGTAAAGTCCATGTCAATTAGTACCATTTTCCAGAACTGATAATTTCTTCCATTACTTCCCTATCTAAATCGCTGTACCTATCTACAAGTAGATTCAGAGAGTGTGTTTGTAAAGACACATTCATTTTATACCTTTCACAGGGATGCTCCTCGCATGGTTTTTTAGCTCTAAAACCTCGCTGAAAGCATTGCAAATTATGCAAAAGTGGCAGTTATGTAATAGTCAGTAGAACCTTGAGGGCTCAATGTGAAAAACGCCAATCACGTGATTTTTAAAATTTTAAAAGTTTCATAATAATAAAATGATTATAAAAATAGTAATACAATCAGAGTAATTAGAGTTAGGACAATTACAAGACAATAAAAAGCAAAGACTTACAGATGTCTGGATGCTCTTGGGCACTTAATACACTGTTGCATATTCATATATACTTCATAGTTATGCATACATTCTATTTAAAACAAGAAACTCTGTTATATTTCAACTGCTTCTTTTAATCCCCATGGCGTCTTCAAGTCTGAGCAAGGCCTGAAGAAATTAGCTTCTTCTGATAAGAAAACCATAGTCTTCTTCTTTGGAAGATTTATGTGTTCTGTGACAGTTATCTCGCAGCGAGTATCTCATTCCTTTAAAAAAAAAAAAAACCACATACGTAGTTTCTACTGTAACTACTAAAGCTTCACTTTAACTACAAAACTACATTTGCCATACTATTAGGATGCTAATACAGCACTGAAATGAACAGGACGGAGCTCACCCCTGCTCTTGTAGCTTTTTTTCAGGAAGCCAAAGGGGGAGAAGGCATGCAGAGTCTGTCCCTGAGGTCTTCCTGGCACACTGGTAGCCACAGGGTGAGTGGGCAAGCCAGAGTCTGTTGCTGAAGTCCAGCAGCAGCTGTTACCTCTCCTCCTGGTAACACCAGGAAGAGCTGCTTCTTTGTTCCTGCTTCCCACAGCCCAGTCCAGTCCAGTCCTCTGGAGGCTCTGGTGACAGGTCAGACATAGACAGGGATGTGGTTCCCTTTTCCCCAGCCAGAGCACCCGTCCAGTCCCCTCCACTGTGCCCAGCCTTCAATTAAGGGGTATTTTCATCCCCAAAACCCCCTCCCAAGATTCCAATGGTCCCTCTATTTTGCACCCTGTTATGGGTAATAAACATAATTTGCGCCATTCCTTGTATGGAATATATAATGTTAAATTCTTGTTAGATTATACCTCGTTTGTACTAGCCTCCCCCCCCTTCTCCCCTCCGAGACCGGGTGTATGTTGGAAACTAATTCACAAGTAAGAAGATACAGCTCGCCAGGAGATGGGCCATGTCTGGAAAGCTGCGGGAGACCCCAGGCGCTGATCGACCCGAGATGGATATCTTGGAAATCCCCAGGCAGATACATGTGAATGCAGCGTTCCTGAATTCCCGTAAATTTCATCAAGGGATTCAACAAACTCCAGACACTGATTTGATCTCCCTCATCACCAAAAAAGAAAATCTTATTAACATATGGACTCTGAATAGAAGAAAAGACTGATTGCTGAAATCTTGGCCTCAGGCGGAATTGTCCCTATAAAAACCACTTGTGCCAGGATGGAAGTGTGTGGGCATAGAGGAAAACCTCTGCTGAGGCTGACTCCTTGTTGCACACCCAGGGCCGACCCCGGGCTCGGCTCTGTTCTTTCCTTGTGGCTGGCTAGATAAAATTTGATGGCAAAATAAATAATTTATTTTTCATATTAATTTGGCTGGACAAATTTTCTTTTATAACCACCCCAGTCCGAGAATGGCAGTTTGGGTGGGGGGTGTAGGTGATCCCCAGGAGCAATTAGCTAATTAACATATCAATATCAGTACTTAGCTCAAGCCAGCAGTGTCCAGTATTGCCATGCAAACCAGGAAGGCTCTTTTGCTCCTAACAAGCAGCAGCCTCAGGGCCCGGCCCAGGGCTCCTTCTGCTCAGCCTGGGGCCCGGCCACAGCGGGGGCCAGGAGCTTAAGGAACATCAGGGAGCACGGGGGTGGGGGAGAAGAGACAGGCTGCTGAGACAAGGCTCTGCCTATAGTTGAAGAGTTTTATTAACTTATAATACAACTAAATACAACTAAATACTACAACTTAATATAACTAAAACATCATGCTTCTCAACAGCAGTGTCACAGGCGTTTCTCGCTTCTGAGGAGATGTCCCAGGTCGAGCACTGGGCGCGGAGTCCTTTCCAGCTGGCTGGGGGCTGTGGATGTCCGGAGGGGCTGGAGAGGCTGGACGAGCCCTGGTGCACTCGAGATGTGTCGGGGGGCTGTGCTTGGCCGGGGCCCTCGTGAGGCGGCAGGGCCTGAGGGTTGAAGGCCAAGGGTGAGCCACCACAGGTGCTGCCCCTCCACCAGTATTCAAGCTCTTGCCCCACACTGGACATGGCCATTCTCCCATCGTACTCCAGCTCCAAGCTCAGTTGCCCCCCATGAGCCAGTCCCACTGCACCATTCTGTTTCTTTACCTTCCTTAGTACTCCCCACACGAAATACCCATACTACGTTACCCAGCTCTGCACACAGAGCTCATCCCCCAGCCGGTACCCCACAGATAATCAGCCCCCTGTCCTCGTTGACCCCCATGCCCTAACAGGACCATACCTGATGTATCCTGTGTCCTGATCGCCGTAGGATGCTGGTCAGTACGGCCCCTTGAGATGTGTCCATCACTGTCCAGCAGCTGGGTAAAACTGGGCTGAGGAGGAGAGGGCAACAAGCTGAAATGCTGGGCCCAACCAATCCAGCATCCCCTAATAATCCTCCCAATCCAGGTCTCCCTGGGGACTGATGGCACAGATTCCCTCTGGATAGTCAGCAATGCCATCAAGCCTCAGTCATCATTCTGTGTCCCCACCTTCATAATCCCTACCTTTTTCTGGACTGTCAAGGCCTGTTGCTGACCGCTTCTCTGGACGGAAGCCCTGATGTTCTGCACCATGGAACTGCTGTTCTGATGATCCCCAGAGCTCGGTGGCACACGGGGGAACCTGCCATGGGCCACCGGCCTCCTGTGGGATGGGTCAGAGGACACTCTGAGCCCAGCCCTGTGGCATCCTGGGCTTCACCCTGCTGTGCCAGGGAGGGGACTGGCAGTGCTGCCTGCAGGGGCATGTCCCTCCCAGCTCCTGTCCACCTGCTGCAGGAGCCCCAAGCAGGAAGCAAAAGCCTGTGCCACACCGGGAAAAGCCCTCCTTGCTGTGTCAGGGCGTGCCTGCACCCCGGGAGCTGGGCATGTGTCCTCAGGGCCCTTACCTTTGGCTGGGCGGTGGCTCCTTGCTGGGGGGCAGCGGCTGCAAATACGGGAGTGTCTCCGGGCACCTGGGGAGGGCAGGAGTCACAGGTGTGTGACAGGGGACAAACAACCTGTTCCTCTTGGAGGCAGCACCCCCAAACCCAGAGGATTGTACCCCATGGTACCCCGCTGCCTGTAGCCCTTGGGATGAGTGCCCACACCCCTGCTGCCGGCAGGGCTGCAGAGGGGCTCCCCACATCAGGGCCTCCCAAGCAGACCCTGTCACCCTGTGCCCAGCACAGCGGTCACTGCTGGCACCCATCTCCCCCCATGCCAGCCCCGCTGCCCCCGATGCACTGGTGCTACTCACTGGCCAGGGACCTGCACGGTGAGCATGCGGTCACAGGACAGGCACGAGAAAGGGACTGGCAGCTGCCTAAGGAGGGTGAGAGAAGAGGGCTGGGGGAGCTCCTGGGGCCACAGCCCTGCCCGCACACAGGCAGCAGCGGCTGGCAGCAGCCGGGTGCCGGGCAGGTCACTGCACAGGGTCACGGCGTTTGCAGGCTGATCCGTGGGCTCTTGAGCCTGTTTCTCCCCATCCCCAGCGTGCTGGATGATGCCAGCTGAAGGGCACAGGCACCCGTGTCACCACCCCAAGCAGCCCCTGCAGCACTTTCAGCCACTCTCTGGCACCAAAGTCCCCTGTGTGCACGGCCAGGAGGGCAGGGCATGACCCAGCTCTGGGACCCTGCATCCCACAGCCCTGCCTGGGAGGAGCAGTTCCCATCTCCCACCCTGGCTTCTGGGAGCCTTTGCACCCACAGCCCCATTTTGCTTTGGGAGGGCTCTGTCCTGCAGGTGCCCTGTCCTTGTGCCTCCTTTCCTGTGTGGAACCTGCTGCTGGTGGAAGGAGAAGGTGCAGCTGCTTCATCAGCATCCCCATGGTTCAATGAGCATCTGAATTGGTCCCAAGGCAGGGGAGCACACGGGGAGCGTGTGGGACAGCTGGAGGGAATGGGACCATTGCTGTCCCCAAAGCCTTCAGAATCTCCATCACACTCACTTCTTAATACCAGCAGCGTTTTCACGCAACAGCCTGTTCTCAAGTTCCTCCATGTTCCTGTTCCAGGCCTCGTCCAGGTGCTTACGGAAAGCCTTCAGCTCCAGGCGATCCAGCTGTGAACAGGTGCACAGCCTCAGCCAGCTGCCCCGGGATGTGACATGGAGCTCTCCAGGGAAAAGCCTGGAGGGGGATCCTCAGAGGGATGCTGCCTCAGGCTGTCCAGTCCCAAAGGTGCCAGTTTGTCATTTAGGCGATGAGGGACCCCTCACCTTCTCTTCAATTGCATCGCTGAACTGATGCTGCATATTGTTCCAGTGCTCCTCCTGGCCTGAAATCTGGCTCTGCAACTCCTGCATCCTCTCATTCAGCTCTTCCATGTTCTCTTCAAATTGGCTGCAGTTGACTTTGCTGCCCAAGGCAGCTTTGTCCGCCTTCTAGCAGAGGGGAACGGCAGGAGAGCGGTGGGGAAAGGGATGAGGAACGACAGGCAGGGCCAGCGCGTGTGAGGGGCAGAGGGAGAAGTGCTTCCTCCAGGCCATCGTGCCCCTTTCAGGGTGCTGTGGCCCCATGTGCCCCATCACCCTGGTGGGTTTGGTCCCACCATCGGGAGGGTGAGGGAATCCCAACATGCTTGGGAAATTCTCCCTCCCCAGGCCAGTTCTGCCACCCAGCCCCAAGGGACAAGGGGCATTTGGCACCCTGCCTGGAAACCCTTGGGCTGGCAGAGAGGCCCATTGAGACTGTACCATGTCCATTGCTGCCATCACGTCCTGCTCATTTGCCTTCTCCTTCTGCACCTTCTCCAGAGACTGGAACAGCATCTTTCAGTACAAAAACGAACCCATGACATCACAGCAAGGTTGGGGCACACCCCAGGATATGGGAGCATCACCCTCTCCCCCTACACAAAAAACCTTGGCGAAAGGCATTGGAACAAGCACAGTGCTGTGAGGAGATCACCAAGAGATGCTCTGTGATCCCTGCCCAGACACATCTTGGGGGATGCTTTGACCTAAAAAGGGTTTCAGCCACACACCGTGATTTCTTTCTGCTTTTGTTGAGATTGCTTCTGGAGGATCCCTGAGGCTAAGCTGAGTTTCTCGTAGTCTTTTTCCATCTGCAGAAACTTGGCTTCCATTTGCTGGCGCAGCTCCTGATCCTGCTCCAGGGAAGGAAGAACATTAGGTGATGACCAAAGGGTGTCTGGCTGCTCCACAGGGCAGACCCACATGATTCAGCCAGTGGCCATGAGCTCTCAGTGTCAACAGGACGTTTGCATCAAGGCTTTAATCTGCGTCCATGCTGCTGACTGGTCCAGGCCAATTTGGGCAGTTTGGGCCTCCCCCACATTACAGCAAAGCACCACAGAGCATGAGGATGTGGCATGGACCTCCAACATGACCAAGCCAGGGGTGGTGGGAGTGCTCCCCCAGGACCTCACCTGCTCGTTCAGCTGGTTGGCTGTCTCGGTCACCATCTCCTCCAGCATGGCATTCCTCCTCTCCTGCTGCTCTCCCATCTTCTGCAGCTCACGTTTTGTGTCCTGACGCAAAGCCCTGGCCAGCAGGATGGGGACAAGGTCAGGGTTTCCCCTGCAGGGCTGCAGGGCACTGTGCTGTGCCTGCAGACCAGGATGCTGCCAGACCCCCCGGGCTCCCTTGCAGCCCCACAGGGTATGAAACCCACTCCTGTCCTCTTACTCAATTTGCTGAGAGATCTCCTTCTTGCTCTCTTCTTTCCACTTGGCTGCATCCTCCCTCAGCTTTTTATGGTCCTCCTCCAGCTTCTTCATCTGGAAAGCCAGTGATGGTAGAGTCAGGGCACGGACATCCTGTGGTCCCAGCGTGGTCACCCTTCAGCTACATGGGCAGACCCAGGCTCCTCCACCTGGTCCTGAGACCCTGATCCCAAACCCTGCTCTTGGAATCACATTGATGTTCCCCATGAGAGCCTAAAGATTACATGGCCCAACAGCTCACTAAGACAAGTGACTCCTTAATCTTCTTTATGTCTCCCTCCATGAGGATCTGTGTTGTCTTTATCTTGTCCATTTCCTCCCGGAGGTCCTGGATGAGAGCCATGTCCTAGGAGAGAGGAGTGGTGGCAGTGAGCCTGTGGAAGGGTCAGTGGGGACCTGCAAGGCCCTGAGCCCTGCTGTGCTTTGTGGAGCCCTGGGGACAGCGCAGGGCCGGGCTCAGCCAGGCTGGCAGGGCTCTGCAGGCAGCACGGTCCATGCATCTGGCAGGGCCAAGGGTACTGAGCCTCCAGCCAGCAGGGCCGAGGGTCCAGGCTGCTCTCTCAGACCCAAAACATGCTCCCAGCAGCACTTCACCTCGTCCCGTAACATCTGGATCTTCTTCATTTCCCCTGCCGTATGACGCTGGGCACCCTTTAACTTTGCAATTTCTTCTTCATGCTGGGACATAGCCATGGTCTAAGAGAAAGCATTGTCAGAGACAAGTCTCTGGAGAGTGATTGTGGGAAATATGACCTTGAGAACCACAGTGGTCTGCACAGACCTGTGTCTCCTGGAACTTCTTCAGTTCCTCGGAGAGGTGGGAAAGTTCTGCCTTTATCCCACCAAGCTCCTCACGAAGAACCTGTGGAACAGTCCAACCAACAGGGATGTCAGAGGTGATGGCCAGGGCAGCAACACCCCAAAGAGCCCCACCCTGCCATGGGCAGCCCGTGGCAGTCCAGGTGGGCAGGGAGAGTCCCAGTGCCACCTGCCCCAGCCCGGCTCGGTGCCAGAGCACTGAGGCACATCCAGGTGGCAAAGAGCCCCTGCCAGGGGCTGTGCCGGGGCAGTGAGGGCAGTGCCAAGCAGTGCTGTCTGAGGAGGCGGGGAGGGGCTGTCTGCTGGGGGAGTGCCCCGGGGGCTGGGAAGAGCCTCTACCTTGGACATGTGTTTCTTGTAGTCTCCCATCTCTTTCTTCATCTTTTCCATCTCAGTGGCCACATCAGCAAGTGAGGGGCCACTGAGCTGGCCCGGCCACGGCTCCTGGCTGGTCAGGTACTGCACGTCCAGGTGCTCCAGCACGGCCTGCAGCAGTTTTCTCATGGCTGCAAAGTGAATGATCCCCTTCTGGGGCGTCCCGATGGCGAGATCCAGCATCTGGGAGAGGCTGAGTGTGTCCAGGGATGCTGCCATGTCTGCACACAGTCAGTCCCTGCTTGGTCACAAGCCTTCCTGCCCAGCTGGGTCTGTCAATGGTCAGCAAAAGCAATAATCAAAAGGATCAGTAGCCAACAGGCTCCTTCCTCCTTCCGTGTCCTTCAGAGGACTGGAACCTGCTCTGCTCATGCACCTTTTCATCACAATTCCCGTTGCCAGGCAGCACACCTCACCCCTGGCTAACAGACACATGAAGTCATAGAGTCATGGAATGGCTTGGGCTGGGAGGGACCCCAAAGATCCTTTCTTTCCAATACCCTGCCATGGGCAGGAACACTTTCCACTAAGCTCCAAGTTCTATCTAACGTGGCCCTGGACTCTTTCAGGAATGGGGCAGATGCAATTTCTTTGAGCAACCAGTGCCAAGGCAGTGACCCTTGCAGGAAGATTTTCTTTCCAATAACCCTGCTGTCTCACAGTGTGAAGCCATTCCCCCTTGTTCTGTCGTTCATGGCCCTTATGCCAAGTCCCTCTCCAGCCCATTTGGAGCCATTTAGTGACTGAAGAGCGCTTGAAAGTCTCGCAGGACAGGAGAGGCCTCACTATTTTTCTTTTAATCAGTTTAAGACTTAAGTTACAGCTCAGCCAGTTGTTCATCTGCTGTGTCAGTGTCCCGTCTGTGGCATCTCATGTTCTTAGTTCCTTCCTGCACCGTGGAGCAGGCACTAAGCCTGGCTTTGCTGTGCAGTGAAGTGTCAGTGTGAGTGACCACGGGCTGGGCACCGCAACAACCACAAAGGCCCAGGTGAAGCCCAAAGGGTCCATTTATGTTTGTTTGCTCACCAAGAGAGGGATCCCCCAAGCAGCTTCTGGGCAGAGGCCATGGGTAAGGGCCAGCAGCCCCACAGAGCTCAGTCCCTGTGAGAGAATCACCAACCTGCTGCTTCCACCTGGGTTTCAGATGTGGCCACTCGCTGGTTTGGCACAGTAAACCAGGGCCTGGCTGGGAGCATCCCCTGGGATCAGCCTTTGCAGGGGAAGCAGTGGGGTGCTGTTCCTCATGCCGGAGGTGCAGGAGGAACCCCGTGAGCCCCTTGCTGAGCTATAGGGTTGTTGGGGCATAGACTCCTTTCTCCTCTGGAGTTCAGGGCAAAGAGTCTCCCTGGGTGAAGCCTTTGTACAATTCCCTCCAAGGCAGGTTTTATGTCAGCTTGACAGTCCATAAAGAAGACAATGAAATAATTTCTGCTGCCATTGCCCCCAAGACTGTGGGGGAAGACAAACCAAGTTCTTCCCTTCAACACCTGCCACCCACATCTGCCCCTTTCCAAAACATGCCCTGTTCACCCCTAGTCCTTCCTTTTTCAAAGCTCTACAGCAGTAACATTTGGGTGAGGAGATACAGAGTTGACTTATGAGCCAGCTGAGGGAATAAACCATAAAGAACTCTCAAATCTGCTTTCAAGCATTGGGAAACCTGACAACATGGAAAGGGAATTTATTTCCTGCATCCTAACTTTGTCAGCCACCTTCTCCTCTTTCTTTGTCAAACATGTAAATATGGGAGACTCCTGCAACTTCTCTCTGGCACATCTTCTTAGCTTTAATGTCTTTAATCACTATTGCCTTGGTTAGTTTTTTTCACCTTTCAAGATTTTTTCTTATCCCTAATTTCTTGAGCTTTTTATTGCATACTCTATGAGAAAAAAAAACAGTGTCAAAGGCAGCTGTCTGCAGTAGTGACCGATGAAGTTAATTTCCAGTGACATGGCAAGGCTTGTAATAAGCAGCACATCTAGGGAAAGGTATAGCAAAGTAAGTTCCTTTCAATGCTGTGCTGTTTATTGTCGCAAGATGAAATAAGAACAGTGAAGAACTGACAACAATAAGTGAACAGTCAATTGTGAACATGAAATAAGAACCATGAATAAAGAACAATGACATAAGAATAGGAAGGTAGAACAAGAAAAGAACAAATAATTGAGAACATTTATACAGAACATGACTGGAGAATGAAGAACATGAATTAAACTGGCTTCTCTGCCTTCTTCACTTTTTTCATTGGAGGCTCCATTCCAGCTGGAGATCCTGGCTGTGGATGTTGTCTTCTGTATGAGTGAAAGAAGGACATGATGAAGTTAATTCAAAGAACCCACTCAGCCCGCCCAGCGCAGAGGGCACTACAAATCCCTCTGTGTGACGGGCACTGCAGAGCTCTGTGCTCCAGAGGGCATTTCCACAGGGAGCAATGGGTGAGTACAGGGCTGGGAAGTGGGTGCTCCTTGCCAGCAACGGGGAGAGCAAAGCTAGGGCAGCTCAGCCAGAGGGAGAGGCTCCATGCTCTGTTCTTGCACACTGACGAGAGCAGTGGCACCGGTGCCCTTTAGGGGTACTTGCCACCTCTGAGCACCAGCTGCTCGTGCCCGGTCTTCTGGCTCACCCCAGCCAGGCTCCTGCTCCAGGGACCAGGATGAAACTTGGCTCAGGCAGTTCTTGGCTGCTTTGCTCTGCCCAAAACTACCCCGTGTTTGACTTGTCCACCACAGATCAAGGGGAAAAGGGCAGGTTGTCGACCCCTCTGGCAGCTTTGCAGCTTGCAGGGAGCAGCCTGATGCTGCCCAGCATGCTCAGTGCCCTCCTGCAGCTCACAGGCTCCTGGTAACTGCTTCTAGTGCCATGGGAGAGACGGTCACATTTCTTCTTTTCTTCTTGTCCCTTTAAACCAGCTCAGTGTCTTCTGCTCCTTGCTTCCCTGCTCATCTTGGCCACGCCAGGTTATTCTGTGGAAACTCTAAACACTTTGAAGAAATTTCTCTCTGGTGATGCAGAGAGTGATTTGAAGGGAGATGGTAGGCAGCATCCCATGGACTTCGGGTGTTGTGTGCACCTGTACAGTACTTAGCCAGCTCTGGCTAGGACAGGACCATGCACTGTCCCTCGCCCTGGCCGTGCTCCAGAATGGAGAATGGTGGTGTACCTGTCACCAAAATTCACAATAAAACTTAACAACAATTCAGAATCAGGCAATTCTTTATTGTGAAGGCAAACAACAGCCATGGATGCACAGGGGAGAGCTCCATCAAAGTGCAGGCATGGCTCCAGATGGTAAAAGCATTTATTATCCCGGGCATTTATTCATGTATTACCCACAAGCATTTATTATACGTTCTACTTTAGGTGTCCACAAAGCCCCATAATTACCTTGGGCCACCTGGATTTGTTACTGAGCTCTCAGTACCACTGACTGTTCATTAACTGCCACTTTTGCAAAATTTGCTATGCTTTCAGCAAGGTTTTATTGCTACACATGATTGTGAGAAGCATCCCTGCAGTGTTTTTTCTCCGGTCACAGCACACATTCCTCCACACTTTCATGTGTTGCTTCCTCCAGCAGGAACTCTTGTCCCTCTAAAACCAACAGCTGCTTTCCGAGTCTTTTGATTTGTAGTTAATGACAATATTTTGTACTTTCTCTCTCCCTCTCTGTTTTGGAGAGCAGAATGATCTAATACCTTGCATTGCACCAGGTGTGCATTCCTCTACTCAAGAGTACCATATAGAAGAGAGGCAGAAGAATCTCTCAGGACACACATACAAACACCGTGTCCTGGACAGTCCCAGCCATGTTTGGCTGCTGTAACCTTGGGCTGGCTCAGTTCTTCCTGAGGCTTACACATTCCTTGCTGGGTTCTGCCCACACCTTTGGCTGGTGTGAGGTCAGTGTGGCTGGCTAGAGTAATGCCACCCACTTTATCTGGTTCCCTGGCGACCCAGGTGCCCAGGTTCCACCTTGGAACCCTGCCTTTGTCCCGGGAACTCAGGCACTTGGGTGCTAGATTTGGGCTCATGGAGTGGTGGTTTTTGGCCATGATGCTGGTATTAGTCCCCTGGCATTCTAGAAACCCTGATTTGTGGCTGTGGGTCCTGATGTCCTGCCTCCCTGTGGTTAACCCCTGCCTGCTCTGCTTCGGGCCCCCCATTCAGCGGGCACGGCTTTGCCGTGACATTACTGGGACATTTTTCAATCATCCCAGACATAAAAAATGCCATGAGGCCCTTGTTGAGGCTGCTAAACCACTTGCTTCCGTCACTGTAGGTATGGCATGACTCCCTAGGGACACCAAACCCAACAGGGATCCTGCCCAAGAACCTCTATCCTGACTGGTCCCTACTTTCCACCAGGGACATCCATCCCAAAGGGGATCCCCACCCTGAACAGCATCCAGAGCCCTCTGGGGTTTCCCATTTCAACCAAGGCCCTCACACTTGAGCAGGATCCCAGGAAATTGGGAACCCTAGGAACCCACCCTAGGACTCCATCCTTGGGACTCACAACCATGCCAAGGTCTTCTCGGTCCTGATTTGGCCCCCAGGGATCTTTGGGAATCCCAAACCTGCCTGGAACCCTGAGAATCACCCAACCATGACCAAGGACACACTGGGGACCCCTTGGCCCTACCTAGGACCTTAGGAATCCACAGGGTCACCTGACCTTTCCCAGTATTCCTTAAATCCTATTCAGAACTTTAGGAACCCACAGAAACCCCCAGACCTTACTGGACCTTCCCATCCCTGAAACTCCAGCTCTAACCCTGTACTGGTTCCAGGGTCAGCACAGCGTGAGGAACTTCGGGAGATCGTCATGGATGCAATGTATTCCATAGAGGACCAAAGGGGAAAGAGTGAGCACACTGAGGGATGTGACACACAGGACATGGGACATGAAACATGGGACAAGAGGGGTGGGATGTGGAGGCCTTGAAGGGGGATGAGGTGGAGGTGAAATAGAGGATATATGAATGTCTGGGAGTTGTAAAGGGATATTTGGGGAATCCTGAGGGCATATGGGTTTCAAGGTATACAGCTTCTTTGGGAGTTTGAAGGGATATTTGGGAATATATCTTACTTCAGGAGGGATATATGGAGTCAAAGTGAGTTGTATAAGGGATTTGTGAGGTCTGGGAAAAGTTTATAGGGACAAGGGGGAGGGCACATTGTCTTACCTGGACATTTGGGACACACCAGAGCCTCTGAACAAGTCTCTGCAAGAAGCTGTCAACACAATCTGGGCAAAGCTGAGCCAGCTGGAGAAAGGTATGGGGCCACCCTGGGAACCCCTGTCCTAGAGAAACGCCCAGGGACCCCGTCTGGGCTGGGCAAGAGCTGAATCCTGACAGCTCATTACAAGGATGTGGGTCCCCGTGATCCCAGTCTGATGCTGCTTCCCCCCCACCAGTTCCAGCCTGCATCCCACCCTGTGGTGAGTGCCCATCCCTCTGTCTTGCCCTCCACTGTCTCCTAGTACATCTCCCACCTCCCTGGGACCACCAAGTCTCTCTTTCCCAGGATTCCAGCCAGCTGCCCGTGTCTTCCAGTGTGCCACTTGCCGCTTTGTGGACTGTCAGTTTGCCCTGGACTGCCCAGGTATGGGGCCATGAGAGGCTGTTGTGTTAAGTGTAAGGAAATCTTCCTCAACTTCCTCCCATTCTTAGGTTATTTTTGTGCTATTTTTTATCTTTGGTGGCACTTGAGTGACTCCAGTCACACTTCTGGTACTGATTGAGGTCGAGTGGTCTAACTTTGCTTTTAAAGGTCTAGGCTAGAAAAATGCAGAATGTGTGCTCAGCAAAGGTTGTCATACATTGGGGGCAGGTAGCTTTTGGGATGGAGGTCTGTTCAGTATTATAATGAGATTGTAGTGAGCAAAGCTGATCCAAGGGACAGGATTTCACCACAGAAATCTCTGGGGACTCCCCGTGTTCTTAACCCATGGTCCCAGGCCGAGTGCACCTGCCCAAGTGTACATCTGCCCATCCCTGCAGGCAGCACAGGAGCACCATCATGTCTGTGAGTGCATGTGCAGATGGGAGCTCATGAGCCTGTCAATTCTCCAGTGCAGGACCTGTGGACCTACACCGATGAAACCATTGTGCTGCGCTGCAATGTGCCGTTCCACATCCCCGCCGGCCTGCCCGTCACCTGGATGTTTGCCCCGAATGTGAGTCACACATGGTCCTGCAAGGGTGGGAGCCACTCTCAGGGGGCTCTTGCAGGTGTAGTGATGCTGCCACAGCAGCTGTCTGTGCTGGAGCTAGCAGCCGTGTAAGCACACACAGGATGCTTGCCCATGTGAAGGGTGCACACGAGCCACAGGCAGATGTGTGTTTGCTGATCCATAAAATCACAGGATGGTTTGGGTTGAAAAAGACCTTAGATCTCATGTTATTCCAATCCCCTGGAAGGTGTGGACACCTTCCACCAGACCAGGCTGGTTCAAGCCCCAGCCAACCTGGCCTTGGACACTTCCAGGGATGGCGCAGCCACATCTTACCCGTGCAGCCTGTGCCAGGGTGTCATGGGCAGAGTGGAAGCTTCAGACAATGTTTATTAAAGAAGCCCTGCTGCTGAGTCTGAGGGTCAGAAAGGATTCCTTTCTGTATTTATACTCTTTCAGAGAGATGGGTTCAGATAATGGTAAATCCTTCCTTAGCCTCAGAATTTGGCAACAGTTTAAACCTTCATTTTGGAATTATTTTGGCCCAAAAGTCCTAATGATGGCAAATCAGATCCATTTATAAGAAGGAATTATTTAACAAACAAATGAACAGGCAAAATAGATTAAATATCTTAACCAAATTACTTACTACACAGTATAAAACTAAAAGAACTACTGGTAGATTACAGCATAACATAGAACAGTGCACTATATCAAAGCTAGCAAAATAAATGGTATTTAATAGGAGACAAATGTAACTTACCATCAAATGACAATAATGTACACAGATTCCTTCACTCAACCCCTGGGGGATTAACTGGGAAATAGGTGTCCCTATTCACTGGAGAAACTCCACACATTTCCAGGAAAATCCATAGAAGCTTTCTACTTTTGTAGTTGTAAAGTGACCTGCTGTCACTCAGAAATCCAGCTTACCTTCCACGCCTCACTTCAACACTAAGATGTTTATTGGCAGTTGGGAGGTGCCAGACCGGTGCTAACCCAGTGGTGCAAAAAGAACTCATTACAAGACAGATTGTCCTGTTTGAATTATCTGACTGGCTAGCAAACAGCAGATAAACTCTTGAAGGGATGAGGTGCTCTGCTTCACAGGGCCTCACCACTCTCACAGGGAGGAAATCCTTCCTGCAGGAAGGGATTGTTGTGTACTCCCTGTGTGTGGGATGGGAGGTGTGTGCCCCTGCAGCAGCCAGGAGCACCAGGAGCACGAAGGGGACGTGCAGGAGGAGGTGTCTCTGTGTGCCGCGCGGTTCCAGGCCCGGCGGTCTGGGCCGTGCTGAGGTGTCCCCGCTGTGCCCCAGCTGCGCACACGGGACATGGCGCTGTTCAAGGAGCTGAAGGGGAACCCGGAGAATCCCTTCAGCCTGACCATCGAGGAACCCGCTCCAGGAACCGTCGCCTGTCGCCTTGGGGAACATTCCAAGCCCGTTGTCCGCAAGTTCTTCTACCTCAATGGTGAGCCCAGACCCCCAAGTGCCCAGGGGCAGGGAGCAGTGGGGAGCAGAGCGGGACCTGGGACACCTGCACACGGGGAGGGCGTGAGCAGGTGCCAGGACGCCTGGTTCATGGTGGACAGGTGGATTAGAGCATGTGTTCCCTGGTGCCTGAGTCCCCTGGGAGCATGTGGGGTGGAGAGGGACCCCCAGATGCCTGAGGGGACAGCGAGGGCTGTGGCTGGAGCAGGAGCTGCAGGGATAGCTGGTCCCTGTGCATGGCCCTGTGACCTGAGGGGCCTGCGTCCCCACAGTGTCAGAGGGAAGTGTGGAGGAAGAGAAAGAACTCCAGGCTGCATTCAGCGCTGTGCTGCACTGGGATGACAAGACCCCTCTGCCCCACGTACCAACCATGGGGCTGGCTGTGGGTCTTGGCTCCATGGCATTCATCCTGCTGCTGATGTGAGTACTCCTGACCTGGTGAATTGTGCTCTAAAAATCCCCATGCTTCTGGAGCTCTTCTCAGACCAGCATAGGGCTCCCTAACCTCTCTGGATTCTCAGCCTCTTTGAATTCCCTGCAAATACAAGGGGACCCAGGTATCTAAGGGTAGGCCAAAGACTGCCTGCACTCCTAAATTCACAGGACCCTCCATGTCTCCTAGGATCCCTTTGCCCTCTGGCCCATTCCAGGATCTCCCCCTTGTACCCAGTAGCACTCCAGGCTGCCTTTACTCTCCCCAGATTCCCTAATTGCCCCTGAAACCCTACAGTTCCCCCCTGTTTTCCCTAGAACCCTCACTGTCCTGTTGGGGGTACCAGTTACAGTCAGTTACCCCAGTTGCCCCCAGGATACCATAGCTTCACTCTTAGGCCCATCAGTTGCTCCGAGAACCCCCCAGCTGCCCCTTGAGGCCTCCAAATGCCCCATGTGTCCCTGTCCTCCCCACATACACCCTAATGGGAATAGGGTGTCCTCTCTGCTCCCCCTTTCTCCATTCCTCCTTCTGTCTCCCAGGGCCAGCTGGCAATGCCTCTGTGTTCGTCAGACATGCCGCAGACATGGACAAAAGGGTGCCCAAGAGGATTCCAGATCCCTGGATTCACTCTAGAGGACTGTAGCACATGGATCCACCCCAGGGGACCAAAATTTCTGCAATTGCTTTTCTTGTGCTAGTCTTAAAACAGAAATACAGAGTTCTGAAAACCTGGATTATGCTTGTAATAGAAATACTGGGTTCTTGGGCTTGTAGACATTAAAACTGGGTACTGGGCAGCATTTCCTTTCCCTGGGTGGGCATTCCAGCTGCAGCTGGAGCTGCAGAGCTCTCAGTGGTGGTGGTGGTGCAGGGTGGGGCAGGAGGGTAGTAACTTGTCAGACTTGCTTTAGAGCTGCCTTAAATTGGTCAAGAATCAATAGGAGTGGTTGAGAAACACAAGGGAGGGGTCCCTTGGCTGCCCCTGACTCCAGCAAGGGCCAACATTAGAACGATGTCTGGAGCAAAGCTGGCCAAAAATTATGGTATCAAAGTGGGGTCTCAGGGAAAAAAAGAGGAGGGGAAAGCATCTCTGCTTGGTTGAGATCAGCAGATGGACAGTTTCTCCCCTGAAGGGATGCCTCTGGTTGAGCTTCACACCTCCAGCTGCATTGGAGCAGACCGGGGAATAGTTACATGTATATAACTGGGTCAATATATATTTATATCTAATATATCCCTGTTACTATCCCTTCTGTCATAATGCATATTAACACTCCATAGTGCATTTATCACCAAAATCCTGAATCTGCCATCCTATTCCTTCCCTAAACCACACTATTTGTGAACCCAGATTATGTAAATTCTTATTCAGCTGGACCATGCTGGTAGATTGCACTATGGGGAATCTGTGATCTCACAAGTTCCCACTGAACACAGCCAGATTTATCGTGCCAGATATTGTATCAGATCTTCTACTTTTGTGCACTGCCTGTCCCTACCATCCTTTCTGAGTGCCTTATAACCAAACTATTCTACCTTTGCATGTTTCCAAATTCCTTCTGTTCCCTCTGGGTGCTTCTTTGGATCCCCTCTTACTCATTCGCTTCCTTCCAACCACTCTCAGATCCACTCCGTTCCTATCCAGCTGCTTTCATATCCTCTTCATTTCCTCTTGTTGTGATCTCTTAGAACCCCTCTGTTCTCCTTTCACAAACAGATCCTTGCCATTTTTCCCCTTGTGCCCTCCATTTCCCTCTGTGTGCCCCCAGATCTCATCTGTTCCCCTCCTCGAGTACTCAGATCTCCTTTGGTCCTTTCAGCATCTCTTTAGTGCTGACTTTTCATCCCTGGGCAAGCTCACATCCCTCTTTTTCACAACAGGTACCCTCAGATTCCCTCTGCTGACCTTCATCAATGCTCAGATCCCACTGTCCCTTCTGTGGGTGCTCAGTTCCAATGGGTTCCACCATGATATCCCTCAGCACCCCTGTGCACACTCAATTCCCTCTGTTTTTCCTCCAAGCATTCTTAGATCCCCTCTGTACATGCTCAGATCCCCGTTGCTGCCCTCCATCCACCCGTTTTCACCCCATTCCTGGGCAGATGCTTTCCTCTCCTCCTCCATGGCCACTCTCCCACACGCAGTGCTCAGAGGCCACAACTGTCTCACCTGCCTCGCAGAAACCTTTCCCAGGCCCTTCAGCTGCTTCCTGGCAGGTCAGGACTGTGTCCCACTGGGGAGTCAAGACTTCTCCTGCTTCCCCCAGACACAGACCCCTCCATCACGACCCTCTACCTATCTCATGCACCCCAGAATGCACCAGCTGCTTCAAACATTGCCCCACAGCCATGGGGCTGCTCTGCTGCCCCACCCAAAGCCGGGCTGGGCTGGACTGGAGCAGATTAAACAAGAGCCCCTTGACCTGGCAGCACCAGCTGCAGTGGTGGGAGGCAAGCACAGACCTGTGTTTGCTCTCCACCTGGCTGGTGGCTGTGGCATTCAAGTGTTTGCTGAGCAATACTCTTCACAGTTTGCAAATATGCTGTTCCCCAGGAAAATTCCATCCAAGTCACTAAGCGCTCACAGAAGAGACCATTCCAAGGATTCTTGCTGGCACGGGAATTCTTTTCTTTGCAGTCCAGAACCACAGGCACCTCCACCTCAGCTGGTGTTTTCTGCAGGCACAAAGGGAACCAACCTGATCTCTTCCAGCAGAGAAGGGAGGTAGGACCCGCTCAGCCCGCCCAGCGCAGAGGGCACTACAAATCCCTCTGTGTGACGGGCACTGCAGAGCTCTGCGCTCCAGAGGGCATTTCCACAGGGAGCAATGGGTGAGTACAGGGCTGGGAAGTGGGTGCTCCTTGCCAGCAACGGGGAGAGCAAAGCTAGGGCAGCTCAGCCAGAGGGAGAGGCTCCATGCTCTGTTCTTGCACACTGACGAGAGCACTGGCACCGGTGCCCTTTAGGGGTACTTGCCACCTCTGAGCACCAGCTGCTCGTGCCCGGTCTTCTGGCTCACCCCAGCCAGGCTCCTGCTCCAGGGACCAGGAGTGAAACTTGGCTCAGGCAGTTCTTGGCTGCTTTGCTCTGCCCAAAACTACCCCGTGTTTGACTTGTCCACCGCAGATCAAGGGGAAAAGGGCAGGTTGTCGACCCCTCTGGCAGCTTTGCAGCTTGCAGGGAGCAGCCTGATGCTGCCCAGCATGCTCAGTGCCCTCCTGCAGCTCACAGGCTCCTGGTAACTGCTTCTGGTGCCATGGGAGAGACGGTCACATTTCTTCTTTTCTTCTTGTCCCTTTCACCCAGCTCAGTGTCTTCTGCTCCTTGCTTCCCTGCTCATCTTGGCAGTGCACACACAGAGCCTAAACACCTTCAAGAAATCTCCCTCCAACACTTCATCAAGTGTTCTGAAGAGAACCAGTAGGTAGCATCCTGTGGGCATCTGGTATTGTGTGCACACGTTCAGCCAGCTCTGGGTAGGGCAGGTCCGTGTGCTGTCCCTCACCCTGGCCCTGCTGCAGGATGGAGATGTCTGTCTGTGTGTGTGTGTGTGTGTGTGTGTGCACTGTGCAGGCTGGGAAGGGTGGCTCTGTGCATGAAGGGAGCATTTTTCCCCATTTCCTTAGTCACAGGCAGTTCCTCTTCACCTTCCTCTCAGCATGACCCTGCTGTAGTGGCACAGCCCCTTTTTCAGGAGCCCCAAGGGAGCCCACTGGTGCCCGTATTCAGTCTCTTGGACTGATACCAGCATAGCTCAGTCAGTCTGGGGCCTTTCAGTGGGGCTGACTCCTGTTGGTTTTCCCTACAGAAAAGGAGCAGAGGTTTGAGGCCAATCCCCTCTCACCTCCAGACCTCTCTGGGCTGGGAGAGCTGATTATCCCCCATGTGCCCTGGCCAGATGAATCTCCCTCCTGCCCAAGGTCTTGTCCTGATGCCCAGGCTTTTGCTCTATCCCCCTGTGTCCTGCCCCAGCCTGGCCCAAGGACTGCAGCGAGCTTCCAGCTGGCAGCCCCAGCGGTGTGTACATCATTCAGCCCACGGGCCTGCACCCCATCATGGTGTCCTGCGAGATGAGCGGGGCAGGCGGCGGCTGGACCGTCATCCAGAGGAACCGGCGGGACACGGACATCACCTGGGCCGAGTCCTGGAGCACCTACAAGCACGGCTTCGGGAACGTGCACACCGAGTTCTGGCTGGGCACCGAGTACATCCACCAGATTGCCAAGCAGAAGGTCTACCAGGTCCGGTTTGTCATCTGGGATGCTGCAAACAACATGAGGTTCGCAGACTACAACCTGTTCAGCCTGGATGATGAGTCCCAGGGCTACCGGCTGAGGCTGGGAGCACACTCAGGGACAGCAGAGGATGCCATGGATTCAGACAACCCCAGGAAAGTGCACAACAACATGAAGTTCTCCACAAAGGATCGGGATCAGGATACGTACAGAGGGAACTGTGCCTCACGCTATGGGGGTGGCTGGTGGTACTCAGCCTGTTACTCGGTGCAGCTGAACGTCAAGGGGGGTCTGACATGGGGCAACCTGTGCAAGGGGAGCTGCAGAGCCTCGGCCATCCTCATCAAACCAACTCCATACCCCTAGAACTCCTTCCCCCTCCTGTCCCCTTGTGGCACCGTGGCCAGGCCAGTGCCCTGCTGGGGCCCGTTTGATGATGAGGCCTTGGGGGTGAATAGGGTTGTTCCTCTCTATCAAGAACTGCTTTGTTTTCCTCCTGTCTTGAAAAGTAGCAAAGCTCCTGGCTCTGTCTCTGGCCATTCACCTGTGATGGGTTTTGGGGGGATATTATTAGAATATTATTTTTTAGGGGGAATATTATTAGAATATTATTATTATTATTAGAATTATTAGAATCTCTATAAACACTCCAATATCCAAGCATGTTCCTCTGTGCTCAGAAGCCTAAAACCCTCCTGATCAGCATGGTCTTACTCTCTTTTTGCTTCGTGGGTAGAGATGTTTTCAGCAGAAGAACATCCACCACCACCAGCTAACCTGACCTAAGCTATATTGACCTCAGGGCAGGCTATTTCCACAACACATCCTGCAGAATAAAATCACTTTCAGACCTGCAGTGTCCTTCATTTATTTGGGAACTGCTTGCAACTGCTGCCTGTTTCCTGCCAGAAGCACACCGGAGGCTTCTGTAGGAAAAAGTTTTCAAAGGAAAATTTTTTCATACAGCTCAAGTGAGGAATTAGAGACAAAACTTTCACTTAAAGAAGAGGATTGCATTTTAAGGTGGGGATCTTCCAAAAAGGGAATGTAGCATGACACAGCCAACAGCAAGCAGAGGGTGCAAGGGAAGCATCAGGTCAGTGGAACCCTGCCAGCCCTGACCTGGAAAGCCAGGCCAATGTCATCCTGCCTCGTACACCTTGTGGATGCTGGGAGGGACCTGGGAGACTGGAAAGGAACACACTGGGAGACTGTAGGGCCACACAGCACCATGTGGCTGGTCTGTCTGGGCTGGTGTGAGAGCTGACACAGCCTGACATGGCAGGGATCCCAGAATCTCAAGATTCTGGATAAGCTTGGGTCTGTATGAAAGTGCTGTGGTGTGGTGATAACCTTGTGCACTGGACAGCTCAGCAGTGGACACAGTACCTGTGGTGAGCTCTCTGATGCTGAGCAGAGGGAGGATGTTTGACTGTTGCACTGTTGTCTAGCAGTGCTGAACAGAGCAAATGTCTCACTGGCTGCACTCATAGATTCACAGAATATTCTGAGTTGGAAGGGACCCACAAGGATGATCAAGTGCAACTATTTTTGGAATAGACCCAGGAATGCAGCTCAGCATCACTCAGGGCTGGCTGCTGGGTGGAATGCTGTTTACCAGGAGCCCCAAGCCTTTGTCCAGCCTCTCACCTGCTGTCAGGCTGTGTTTCCAGGCTGGAGCACCGATGCCTTTTTAAGCCAGCAGACATGTCTCTTAGTCCAGAAGTGCTACTCTCAGGCCAGCTCCAGCGGGGAAGCCTTTCTCAGCCAGCAGCACCCTCGTATCTCCATCTCCCCATGAAACAGTGCTGCCCACCTGCAGGTGCCTCCAAGGCTGCCAAAGAATGCTCCTTGAGGACTCGACAGCTCCTCAGGAACAACGCACTGCCATAGCTCTGCAGGGTGCCCTGGGACCTTGGTCACAGACCTTGGCTCCAGAATCCCATGTTGTTCAGCTTTCCAAGCCACAAACCTTCCTTGAGCTCAGCTGTCCTTCCACAGAGGGAGGAGAGGAGCTGTGGCTTCTTTCAGGCCCCAGGTTCAAACTTCCCTGCATCAGAAGGGAACTTCACAGACACATTCCCTGTCTGCAGCAGGGAGTGATGGGACTGACTGACCCACACCACTCACACCCTCAGGGAGTCCACTGCCCTCTCCACACTCCAGGCTGTGGTGGTTTCTTCTCTTCCCCAGCACAGAGCAACCACCCAGCCATGAACAGGGGCAAACTGTGAGTGAGGGCTGTGCACGCCCAGGGCTTTGCTGGCGTGTTGGCTAATTGTAGCCTTACAGTCCAGCGTGCAGTGGCTGGAACAAGCCATTGAAAGGAATACTGCCTAACACACTGACCTTCCCCCAAGTCTGCCACCCTGAAGAGTGGACAGAGTGATCCCCCCACACCTGTGTGCAGGTAGACATGAGGCAGCACGGTCTGGCTCCAGGGTTTATTGCAGCTGATTCCTCCCACCATGGATAGCAGAGCTGTGGGGTGTGCAGGGCTCAGGGAAGGAGCAGGGCCTGGGCAAAGCAGGGTTCACCAACTGCAGGGGAAGGGAACTGGCTCCATGTCCCTCTCCCCAGGATGGGAGTGGGTGCACCCACACCAAACCAGTGCCTGTGCCCCAGTGCCAGCCAGCATCATGGCACTGGACAAAGCTACCCATGTGCCTGGCGCTCTGGGCAGGGGCTCCTGAGCCCCAGAGCTGCTGTGTTTGTGCTGGTGAGGGAACAGGAGCTGGTGGGCAGAGCAGGATGTGCGCTGGGACTGGCATGGGAACGGGGCACTGAGCTGGGGATGGTGGCACCCCCACACTCCCGGGGGGCTGGGCGTGGTCAACACACATCTGTGGGTTTGACCAGGATGAGGGAGGATGCGCAGTCACCGTTATCACAGAATCCTGGCCAAACAATGTAGTTTTTGGCATTGAGCAGGACGTTCTGGCACCTGTTGTACCACCACCCCCCGTAGCTCTTGGCGCAGTTCCCGCTGTACTGGTCCTGGTCCTTGTCGACTGTGCTGAACTTCATGTTGTCGTGAATGCCGCCCTTCTTGGGGTGGTAGAGGGTCAGGTAGTCATCCCCATCCCCAGAATGCCGGCCCAGCCGCAGCGGGTAGCCGCTGGCCTCGCTCTCCACCCTGAAGATGTCGTACTCGGCGTAGTGGGTGACGTTGGCCTTGTCCCGCACCACGAAGCGCACCTTGTAGGTGCCCTGCTGCGTCAGCAGGTGCAGGTACTCGGTGCCCAGCCAGTAATCGCTGTGCACGTTCCCGAAGCCGTACTTGTAGGTGGTCCAGGATTGCTTCCAGGTGAGCTCGGTGTCGTGCGAGTTTCTCTGCACCACCGTCCAGCCCTTGCCCTCGGTGTCCATGTCGCACCAGACCACGCGCGGGGGGGACCGGGCGGGCTGGATGACGTACACGCCGCTGGGGCTGCCCTTGCGGAGGCGGCTGCAGTCCGGGGGGAAGCCTGAGGCTGCAGCAGCACACACGGGGTGGGGGGGGAGAGAAGGTCCGTGAGGCTATCAGGACAACAAGGAGCTTCGGGACAAAAAGGAGTGGTTCTAGTCTGCAGCTTTTCCACCGGCTCATCCTCAGGGAACATGAAGGTGTCTGAGCCAGTGACCTCTGCAAGAGCTTTGGAACCTAATTCTCATGATTTGCTGTTTCATTTGGAGCCTTCTAATGCATCTTGCCAAGGAAAGAAGGGTGAAAAAATCTCAAGGATTGTCAATTATGTCCTCAAAGCATGTCTGGCCCATATACCCTTGATATACTGAGCTGCAGCTCTTGCAGGGACCAGAAGTATCTAAAATGCTCCACTGGATGAGGATATGTAATGAAAATTTATGTTTTACCTGGAGCTGATGGCATTGGATAAGAAGGCTTAGTTCTGCCTTGGCCTTATAGGGGTCTCTTCTCCCAGCTTGTAATAATTTATCTAGCCAAACTTATTTACCCAATTACTAGCCAAACTAATTTGCCATCTAATTTGTTTTTCTTGGTTTGTGTCTGATGGGAAACAATTTGCTGTGGGTAGTTCCAATTCAACCCACGAAGTTCTGGGGTCTTGTAGGTACTGTAATCCTCCCTTAAAGGGAGGAAGGGAATGTTCTAAATCCAACAAGAGCTAAACAAAAAGCCAAATAGCTAAAAGGATCTCTCCTGGAACTGAGCCTCACAAGCATGGCACAGCAATCCTTCCAAGCTGTGGTGTTTTGGCAGAAACCTGTTGGTTTCAGTGTGGAAAAGGGGGTGAAGGTGACTTGGCAGGAGCCAGGTTGTAGAATCCATGGCCCAGGGGTGATGTGTGTGAGGAGTTCCTGTGTTGTGCATCCCTTTGGGTGTTTGCTGACCTCCCCTGGCACAGAGCAGCCCTGAGTGTCCCACTCTGCCCTCGGGGCCCCTCGGTGCCCCCCACCTGCTACTCACCACTCCGGGGGCTGGCAGTGGGCACGGCTGGGCCAGCGCTGGCACAGAGGAGAAGCATTGCCACCACGGTGGGCAGGAGGACAAGGTCCCGGTGCAGCCAGGGTGTCCCAGCCTGGAGCCCTGGAGAGGAAAATGCCCATCACCATGGAAATGTCCTGGCCCACACAGAGCTAGAAACCCAAACCCTGTGTGCTGACCGACAGCACCCCCCTACACCCTGCACTCACTCAGCTCCTGGGGAGATGCCACCACGCCTGGGGCAGGATCCCTGAGTAACCACACATGCCACATGCACTGGGAAAGGAGCAAGGTGAGGCTTAGGTCTCCACATTAACCTCCCTCGACAGGATGTTGGAACACATGGCACAGGTAGCCTGGGGCAGGCACAGGCTGGCACCAAGTGTGTGTGTGGTTTGGTGCTTTGCTCTGTCAGCCCTCCTGCTCCCAGGGAAACTCACAGCTGCTGTTCTGCCCATCATTCTCTGTGCCTTTGTGTACTCACCCCATGAGGTCTCATTTGAGCCCAGCACCACACTGGAGTGAGGTGCACCTGAGCAGGAAACTCACCCATCATGACAGCACCTCTGCGCAGAGCAGGAACCCAGTGGTGCAGCCTCCCATGCCCAGCTGTGCATGCTGGCTTTATAGGCACTGCACACACCCACGTGTGTTCACACTCGTCCTTTGTAGAGGCACAAGGAGGCACTTGCAGATTGTGACTCGGGCAGTTTCCACATCCCATGACGGCACAGCTGAGGGGAGGGACACATGTGCTTCCAGCCAGAGAGGTACAGAATAACCCCCTCCATGCTGAGGAATTTCAGTTATTGACTGTCCCTACATAAACACTACATGTGAATTGCACACTTGGAGCAAAATCCGGAGAACCAGGATCAAAGTGAAGTGGAGAGACCCAGCTTCTTAAGGATATAGGGAAACTAGAAAGGAGGAGAGGTTTGTGTGACCAGTCCCAAGCATGACCTTGGAAAGTTGAGGACAGGTCCTCAAGAGAGGTGCCTGCTCACTAACTCTCCACTGACAGGTTTGAGGATCAGTCATGGGGCTGGAGCCAGTGTCCTGCAGCCAGAGCTGCAGTGTCCCCTGGCACCCCTGAGCCAGGGCTCCATTAACAAACAGGGCTCTGTGGGTCCCTTTGCACTCTTCTTCCCTGTCTTTAGCCTGGTGAGTCCCTACAGATCTACCTTCAGCCCCAGAAATGTTGACAAAGAGTTTCTCCATCTTCTGGATCAAAATGCTCTCTGGACAAATGCTTTGGGAGGGCTGTTCTTCCTGCCAGAGGGTCCAGGAAGCTCCATAACCTTTTCAAGTCAGATTTAAGAAGATAAAGATGTGGTCCTTCTATCATCTTCCCTGTTGGTTTCTGATCAGACTTGTTTTTCATAGCACAGCTTGACACCTGCTCTTCACAGCAATCCAGGTCACACTGAGGTTCCCACCAAACTTTCCATGCTGTGGGAATCAATCAGTGCCACTTGAAGGCCTCGATGGAAAGTGGCATCCAGACCTCTCCGAGATAATGGATCCAGGAAAGGGATTCCTGGATTAACAGGACAAGAGAAAATAGCCTCAAGTTACACCAGGGGAGTTTTAGATTAGATATTAGGAAAAATTTCTTAATGGAAAAGGTTGTCAAGGGAACAGGCTGCCCAGGACAGTGGTAGAGTGACCATCCCTGGAAACATGCAAAAAACATGTGGATGAGACACTTGAGGACGTGGTTTGTTGGTGAACACAGTGATGCTGGGTTGACAGATGGACTTACTGATCACAGAGGTCTTTTGCAGCCTTAATGAATCCAAGATTTTATGGTCAGGTTCCATCTAACCCTTCAATGTCACCTCTGCTAGCTTGGTGAGAGGCTGGGAGCCAAGGAGGAGAGGAGGAGGAGATGAGCTGAGCTGAGCTGAGCTGAGCTGAGCTGAGCTGAGCTGAGCTGAGCTGAGCTGAGCTGAGCTGAGGAGGGGATGTCTGTCCTGCCAAGGTCCAAGCACGGTGGAAAGGGCTGAGTGTGAGCTCCGTGTGAGGCAAACACTGCTGGATCCAGGATCCTTGATGAAGGGACACAGGGCAGAGGGCAGGGCTGGAAATTCGCTGTGGCAGAGATGTGAGCAGTCCACACAGGAAATAAACCATCCACGGAGTAGGTCTGAGATCCATCCAGAAAACGTGGACAGAGAGGACTGGAGTCCCCCACTGTGCTCCCAGTGTGGCTCAGATGAGGACTGGAGCTCTAGGGCTGAGTTTAAACTGACCTCAGGGGCCCAAGGGAAGGTCCTGGGTAGGACAGGCCACCAGCCACGAGGGCCACAACAGCTGTGGACCCTGAAAGGGCAAATTCTCCCAGCTGGGCTGGCTTTGTGGAGCCCAGAACTAAGATGTCAGGGCTGGGGAGGGGGGTCTCCAGAGAACAGAGTATCTAAGATCAGGAGGCTCTCTGGGTGCCTCTGGTTTGGCCTCAGCACCAAAACAGTGAAACTTGAAAGGGCTGTTTAGGGTCACATCTGGGTCAGTTGTGAATGTCAGGGAATGGTGGTCTCATAACTTCTCTTCCTTTTTTTTTTGTCTTTGAACACACTCAGGCTGATTTTTTTACATCTAATTTCCCTTCCTTCTCCTTGTGTCTGTTGGCTCTCATGATTCCCTGTGCACCTCTGGGGAATCACAGGGTGGTGGAACAATTTAGGTTGGGAGTGACTTCTGGAGGCCATCTGGTGCAAGTCATGCTCAAGCAAATCCTTGTCCAGCCAAGTCTTGAACACTTGTAAGAAAAGCCTCTGAACACCTCCCACAGCCTCTCTCTGGGACCCTGTCCCAGTATTTGATCAAACTCATGTTAAAGCAAAGCCCTGTTTCTAACATGAATTTCCATGTTCCAACTTAGATCCATTGCTTTTCATCCCCCCGTCATGGACCTCCTAGAAAAATCTGGCTCCATGTTCTTGGTGTCCTCCCATAAGATGGTTGCTGGCAGCAATGGGATCCCTTCTGTGCCTGCTCTTCTCCAGGTGGAGCAAACCCAGTTGTCTCCAATTCTCCTGATGAGTCCTGAGCTCCAGGGCTCCAACCAGCCTGGTGGCCTCCAGTGGCCTCCAGACTTGCTCCAGTCTGTGTCTTGCAATGAGGGGTCCAGAGTAGGACACAGGGCTCTGAGGAGCCTCATTCTACCTGCTCCTCACCCTTCCACAAGGTAGCTCTAGGCAACCTCAAGATCCCATCTCAGCCTTCTCTTCTCCAGGCTGGACAAACCCATCTTTCTCAGCATCTCCACATATGCCGTGCCCTCCTGCCCCGGCTGTCCTGGTGCTCTTAGCTGGATCCCTCTGGAGCTGCTCTGCACAGAGAACCCCCACACAGCCCTGCAGCTGCTGTCTCACCTGTGGGGTGAATAATCCCTTCCCTCACCCTCCTGGCTGCATTTTTCCAGATGCAGCCTGGAATAGAGCAGCAAACACAACTGTGGCTGTTCCAGAGCCAAACACTGATCAAGGCCAGGTTGGGCAGGGCTTGGAGCAACACGATCTGGTGGAAAGGGTCCCTGCCCATGGCAGGGAGATGGAACAAGGTGGTCTTTGAAGAAAGATCCAACACAAGCCTTTCCAGGAGTCCGTGTTTCTATGAAATACACTGAACAGGAGCTGGGGCCCAGGATAGAGCTGGGTGTTTGGAGAAATCTTCTCTGTGACTTTTCCCCTGCTTTGTTCATCCTGATCTTCACATGGGCTGCAGCCTCCTCTAAAAGCTGGCTGGAAGCTGCTGGAGAAGCCCTGCTGAGGGTCACTGCCTGTCCTTGCACAGGCACAGGAGTGTCCATGGCGAGGTGACCACTCTGCAAGGACACAGTGTGGGACAGAAAGCCCTGCCTGTCCAGCCCAGGGTGGCTGCTGGGCTACAGGAGCCCTCCTAACTCAGAACACTGCAGGCATCCATCCCAGGGGAAGAGGGAGGTCTGGTATTTTCTGTAGACCTCCATGGTGTAAGTGCTCCTAGAGCAGAGAGGGGCCTGAAGTGAGACCATTTTACATCAGTGGCACTTCATGATGCCCAAAACTGCCTTGTGATTGCTGCAAGGGCCACCATGGTGCCAGGGGGTCCACAGTGCATGTTGCACAAGGGGCAGCGTGGCAGTGGCAGGGCAGGGGTGTCAGGAGGCATTGGAGTGGAACTTTCTGAAGTTCAGGGCTCGGTTTCCCAGGAACACTGGAGTACCTCTTCCCTGAAGTGTCTGTGGGGCTCCCAGGGGCTGTTGAGCTCAACTCTGAAGAAAGTGATTTACGCCTGATGTTTGATTTCCATCCAGGAGGTGAAAGTCACCTGGGTGTTTGCTTGCCAGTTGAGCTCTGTGGAGATGCCCCAAGAACATCATTCCCTGGGAAACGCTGCACACTGAATTGTGGTTATTTTAAGGCATTTGTTTATTGGCACCAAATTATTTGCTTTGCCTCTGGAGAAAGCTCTTCACCTGTGTGGCACACAGACTTCATGGTCTGAGGACTGATCACTTGATGGTGGAGAGCAAATAAGCCCTAAGCCACTGCTCCTGCTGCCAACCAGAGGACAAGTGCCGAGCTTTGGGTCTCCTGCCTCCACCCCCTCACCTGCTCAAGCCTATAACTTTCAGGCTGGACAGCCCTCCAGCCAGGCCAAAACCACCCAGCTTCGTGCTCCACAGGGTCCCGGAGACAGCATGGGTGAGTGTGGGGTGGGACGGGACGGGACGGGACGGGACGGGACGGGACGGGACGGGACGGGACGGGATGGGATGGGATGGGATGGGATGGGATGGGATGGGATGGGATGGGATGGGATGGGATGGGGTGGCACCTCTGTGTGTGACTGCAGCTCACAGGGTACTCCAGCACTTCCCTCCCCACACCCTGCATATCCTGGTGCTGAGTCCCTCGCCTTGTCTGTGCCAGCTCTGCCCTGGGCTGGGACTGGGGCAGGAGCCTGCATGCTCTGCTATTTCCAGGTTGTGCCAGTGTAGCCCTGGAGTGCCACACAGACCATTTTACAAGTTTGGTATTTACCATTCTTTGCAATTTTCAGTTCTCCAAAGAAAGTGTTAAATAATCTAGAGTAGAAAAGGGATTTTTTTTTTTTAGATTTTCCTGCTGAATATGTGATATTGACCAGGTATCCGGATCTGGAGGTCAGATGCTCAAAAGCACATTGCTGTCCCCAGCAGAACACCCACCAGAGGCTGATCCTCCTTTGCATCTCTTTCCTGTGCAGACTTTTCATGACCAGTCCCAGGGGAAGGGCTGGCAGTGGGGGGAGCATTTCTTCCCTGGGGACCTCAAGGAAAAATGTCTTTAAACATGTCCCTAAACACAAGTATATTACCACACTAAATGTCATGTAGGAACTGAGAAGTCAATCAGTTGGACTGAAGTGTGTTTAAAAGACCTGCTGCAAAACTGCAGCAGCACCATAGACTGGGACATCTCTGAGCATTCCCAGAATGGGTGTTTGTCTCTAGGGTGGCTGCAATTCCACACAGTGGTTCCAGGCTGGCATCCATGATCATTTTCCTTCTCAGGCATCCCAGAGAATGGTGCCAAACCCATGTACCCCTGGGAAATGCAGTAGATGTTGACTTTGCTTAGTTTTGAACAGTGAGGGATTCACATCAGTTATCTGCTAGGTGAGCTGTATGTGTCTTATCAGGAGTAGAATTCCCCACGGGCAGGCAGCTCCACAGTGTCACACTCTTTAGGAATCATGACAAACTTTCTGTTATTTTACTTAGGTTGAATACTGCAAAAAGTGTGCTGGTTTTTCCTAGTGCTCTGAACCAGAGCAGACCAGACCACAGCTGTCCACATATGGAAATCTTGGAGCAGCCACATAACCAACATAACCACAGAAAGGGAATAATTTATCCCAGAGCCACCTTAAATCCTGGAGGTCTGTGCTGCCTTTCTTTGTCATGCTGCTTGCACACAGCCCTGCCTGGGGCTGGCTCCCACCCAGACCCCAGGGTCTCACTGCCCACAGCCCCAGGGCAGTCCCAGCTCTTGGCACTGCTGAGGTCCCACCTCGAGTGCTGGGTCCAGCTCTGGCCCCTCAGTTTGGGAAGGACGTTGAGATGCTCGAGCACGTCCAGAGGAGGCAACGAGGCTGGAGAGGGGCTGGGAACACAAACCCTGTGAGGAACCACTGAGGGAGCTGGGGGTGCTCAGCCTGGAGAAAAGGAGACTCAGAGGTGACCTTATCACTCTACAGATCCTGAAAGGTGGCTGTGCTCAGGTGGGGTTGGGCTCTTTCTCCAGGCAGCACTGACAGAACCAGAGGACACAGTCTCAAGCTGTGCCAAAGGGAATACAGGTTGGATATCAGGAAAAAGTTTTTTACAGAAAGGGTGATAAAGTTCTGGAATGGCTGCCCGGGGAGGTGGTGGAGTCCCCATCCCTGGGTGTGTTTAACAAAGCCTGGATGTGGCACTGGGTGCCAGGGTTCAGTTGAGGTGTTGGGGCTGGGTTGGACTGGATGATCTTGAAGGTCCCTTCCAACCCAGTGATTCTGTGAATTCTGTGAATGTGTCATGGGAGCATAGTGGGAGCATGGTGGGAGCTGGGAAGAAAGGGGATCCCCCCCACTCTGTGTTCACCCCCTTGTTATGTCCAGTTACGAGTCTTGAGTTTTATAGAGATTTCTGATTATGGACACTTCGGGTTTGGACAAGGTTTTGGCAATTCTTTGGTCTCAACTACCACTACAGCAGGTGCCACCACTAATGACTCCTGCTAATGTGTATAGGATGCTCATCTAAATGAACTTGTTTTCATGGGGCTCATGGCTCTGAGGGAGCTCTACACAGAGTTTTATTTTCCTATTTTACTCTGAATGGCATTAATGGCTTTCCAACAGAAGAGTTATGACCTCTTTCTTCCAATGTCTTCCCATTTCAGCTACCCAGTGCCTTTGTCTCCTGCTTTTGACCTGCCTGCTGGCCCTGGCAGCATCTTTTCCTGATGTTGACATAAGAAACTTGTACCTCCTCAATGGCACCATGGATGACATTATGAATGCTCCCCCAGAGTCCTCCCAGCTCGGTAAGTATGGCCCTGCAACAGGCAGAGGCTAACAAGGTACTGATCAGTCAGATCCTACATTGCCTACATCCTCACCAGCCTGCCCACACTTCTGTCACAGTAAATACTGATCTGAGAGTGTCTTACTGAAGCAAGAGTAACCTTAGGGTCCCCCTCTGCTTGCTGCCTGTCTCATCTCCTGTATGGCATGAAGTTCTTCTGTCCATAAGGGACAGAAGGATAGCTCAAAGCTCAGAGCTCACAGAATCCCAGGAGAAAGGACAATTTGGCAGGAGGGCCAAGCCCAGAGTCTTGTGGGCCATGTGCTCTTCCTTGGAGAAGGGCTAAAGATGCTCCTGGTGTGTTTTGAGGACATGGAGAAGAATTCCCGTCTTTGGAAATCACAAAGTCAGTGGAGAACTGAATTCAAGGGAGACCTCAATAAAGAGAGGAACTAAATTAAGTGAATACAAAGAGTTTAAGCAGTGGCACTGGCACAGGACAGTCAGCCAGGTGATGGCATGGAGTAACCTATGGGTACCAGGAGCAGAGAGGAAGCCTTGAAGAAATACTCATGGAAAAAAAAAAAAAAACCCAGAGGGTGTGGGTGGGATGTGGCACACCAGAAAGAGATTATTCCCTTCCAAAGGAAGAGGAATTGTGCTTGGCAGAGGAGCTCAAGGTCCAAGTGTTTGGCGCTGGTTTCAGATCACCTGTCAGGAAACTGCCAGCATAGGGAGCACCGAGCCTGAGACAAGAGTTCAGCAAGAACTGCAAGTCTGAATAGAGAACGAATGCGTGCTCTGGGCCCTCAGGAACATGGTGTGATTTTGGGGTTGTCTTGTGCAGGAAATTGGAGTTGATGACCCTTGTGGCTTCCTTCCAACCTGGGGTAATCCATGATTTTGTGATCTCTCACCTACAGCACTGAAGCGTGCTCTGAAAACATCAGCAGCATGAATGCATGCCAGAAAAGACAGGCCAGCATTCCAAAGTCTTGACTTGGAGAGGAGTGCTTCCAAAGAGATGGGGTGGGAAGGCAGAAAGGAGCAGGGGCAGACTGCCTTACAACACAAACGTGAGTGAACAGCTTCGTGTGGCTGTAGTAAAAGTAAATGCCATGGTAGGAAAGTCCTCCAGACCATGTTACATGAGTGTTTCCCACTCCACACAGGCTCAGGTTGTAAAGAAAGTCAAAGGGAGTAAAAAAGAGAGTCAATATCAAAATTCAGAAAGTCAGAAGTCTGGCAGGCAGAATGTGTCAGGAATGAGCTTATACAGAGTGCAATAGGCTTAAGTTAAACACTTCAGAAGGGAGGAGGTGAGACAGTGCCAGCTGAGACTGAAAGAAAGGAGCAGGTATTTGAGGATGTCACAGCAGAAGCTGCAGGGTTAATTGTTTTAGAGAGGGGACAGGAATGGCCTTTGTGATTCCATAAGCCTGTGACTAATCCTTCTGTTTTACAGCCATCAGTGGATACAGAGATATCCTTGCAGAAGAATTGCATTAACTCATTCTAAACCATCCTCTCTTCCAGCAACACCCTTCAAATTCCCATTTGAGCAGACACCTCTCCCAGCTCCCGGCACCTGAGCCAGTTTTTCTGTGTCTGCTCTCACTTTTCTTCCGCCTCTCTTTAATCCCTCTTCTTCCCAAGTCCCTAACTGCTGCTGCTGCACTCTAACAACCATCTTCCCAGTGTTGCCACCACTGTTAGGGCTTTTCCCCTACACAGGGTGCCCAAATCCTTTCCACCAAAAAAGCATCAGCCTCATTCTAACACCATGTAAATTCCCCCAAATTACCAACTTGCTGATATCTGAAACTGGGGAATTCCTCTGGAATTAAGACCAATAACAGAAAAATATCATCTGGAGAAGACTGAGCTCTCCTAGCAGATTTTTGACATGTCTATTCCCCACACTCACTCCTCTCTCCTGTGTTAATTTAGATGATGGTGATGGACACGTCCGACAGGCCAGGGACATCGCCCACCACCCACCAGTGAGCCATGGTGAGTCTCTGCATCTGCTGGGGGTTCCACCATCACTGGGCTCACCAAGAGCTCTCAGAGAACTTTCCCACGCCTTACAGGTGCACTGGCTCCTGCCAGGAGTATGCTGATTATCTGATGGGCTGCAGAGGTGCCACAGCTCACAAGCTCAGGGGACTGTGCTACCAGCTGTGTCCTGGGCTCAGTACCTGATGAGGTGCTTTTGCAGGGGGAATTTTACAGATAAAGGTCCAAACTGGAAAGTGATGCTTCATTACTGGGAAGTGGTGATTAGTCATTTTCCTATTTTCACTACACAGTCAATGAGAAGGCTGGATGTGAGAGAATTACTGAACTGGCTGGGTCAGCATTAGTCCATAAGGCCAAAGATGGGTCCTACCTGGGTGGGGACAACTGGTGACAGAGGTACTGGGAGTGGGGAGAATTCCTTCCCAGCAGTGTGTAGGCACTTTCAGCCACTTGCTGTATGAGGTACAGACACTCTGGAGCCTGAAAAGGCCATAATCAAATCCAACAAGTCAGGAAGTCTCCAAAGAATTACTTGGGCAAGGCCAGGGAACAACAATGGCTTTGCCCTGTTGAGGTCCCAAGGGCTGATTTAATTGTTAGAGATATGGATGTCATGGTCACCCTCTCTCTGGGGCGAAGCACTAAAACTCTGTGCTGTACCAGCAAGTGACTTTGTCCCCCAGATTTGCATTTGTCTGTGGTGATGCATCATCTGCATGACACAGGCAAATCACTGAGACCCAACCCACCCTGGGTGAGGGTCCTTGGGTGACAGAGATGCCTGGCTTGGTCTCACCAGACATTTTCACAGTATGTCTCCATCAGTTTGAATCCTGTCCTAGGAAGATGTGAAGCTCAGCTCTTGCATCGATCATGCCAAGATTTTGATTTACTCCTTTGAGTGCATGGCAGGAATGCAGCCTAGGAATGTGTGTGCAAAAGGACGTAGACAAAGAGAAATACACCCCCCAAAAAAAAAAGAAATCCCTTTCAGAGGGATTTAATAACCAGCTCTTGTTTCCAGCCTCAGGTTGGCCCAAGGACTGCAGCGAGATTCCCCGTGGAAGCCACAGCGGCGTCTACATCATCCAGCCCAAAGGGCTCCACCACCTCGTGGTGTACTGCGAGATGAACGTGACCCACGGGGGCTGGACCGTCATCCAGAGGAACCAGAGGGACACGCCGGTCACCTGGGCCGAGTCCTGGAGCACCTACAAGTTTGGCTTCGGGAACGTGCGCACCGAGTACTGGCTGGGCACCGAGTACATCCACCAGATTGCCAAGCAGAAGGTCTACCAGGTCCGGTTTGTCATCCAGGACTCCGCAGACAACCTCAGCTTCGCAGACTACAACCTGTTCAGCGTGGAAGACGAGTCCCACGGCTACCGGCTGAGGCTGGGCTCCTACAATGGCACAGCTGGGGATGCCATGACCTCAGACAACCCCAACAGCATGCACGACAACATGAAATTCTCTACAAAGGACCAGGATCAGGACACTTACAGTAAGAACTGTGCCTACAGCTATGAGGGCGGGTGGTGGTACTCATCGTGTTACTCCGTGCGGCTGAATTACAAGGGTGGCATGACATGGGGCAACCTGTGCAAGGGGAACTGCAAAGCCTCTCTTATCCTCATTAAACCAGCTTCATATTGTTAGTGCTTCCTCCTCCTGTCCACAGCGGACAGTCCCTCTGCAAAGGCTCTGCATGGCCAAAGAGTGTGAGCCTCTCTGGAGCAGAGTGAGGAGCACAAGGGTAGCAGGGCTTTAATTCAATGCCACTTTACAATCCCCCCTCTCCAATTGCAGACTCCCCTCTGCTCAGCTCCATTCCCCCATGCTTGCCAATGATTCCTTGTCATTATGTTCATAATCAAGAATTTTAAAAACGCTTATGAAATTTGTGGATCCCGCGTGTAACTTCCCTGTAGGAAGAAAACACACAGCCCTGGAGTTACAGCATGGTTTCCTTGCTGTCTCCAGAACTCACAAAAAGCAAAAAGCCTGCATGCCCTAAACTTCCATATACTCTGAACCTCTCTGCAGTGTTTGATAAAGCACCTAATAAACATGCTTGCTTGAGCTCATT